GAAGTGTTTAATGTAGGTTTTTTGAGCAGTGGGGTTACCCGAGCCTACTTGAATGCAGTGGGGAAAGTGCCTGTGAGGAGAGATGTGTTGATGATGTGTGTGAGTGCTGGTAAAAGTGTAGGAGAGATTGCTTGGAGGAGGTGTGAGGGGATTGGGTCCAGAGGGCATGTTGTAGGATGGCTGGAGAGGAGAAGTTTTGATACTTCTGCCTCGGTGAGGGGACAGAAGGAGAAGATGGGAGATTTTGCCGTGGGTGTGGTTGGTTTGAGGTCCTGTGTGTGTGGGGCTGAGAACTGACTACTGATTGTTCTAGTTTTGTCTGTGAAGAATGTGGCAAAATCATCAGCTGTTATAGAAGTGGTGGGAGGTGGTGGAGGGGGACAGAGGAGAGAATTCAATGTTTTGAAGATAATTCAATGTTTTAAATGAATTAATTAACTTAAAAACAAACTTTGAAGTCCACCTGAAATAAAAAAAGACAAATCTACTTTCTTCATGTTACTGGTCTTCATGCACAATAAATTGGTCTGTGTTATTCAGTGTTATTTTAGTAGTTTTTATATACTGTTACAGTATTTATTAATGTTATGGATTCACTTTCATTTTTATATTTTCCGTTTTAATTTTAGTTCAAGTTTTGTTAGGTGCTTTTGTCGTTTTTATTAGTCTTTTTCCTTTTTTTTTTTTAATTCTAGCAATTGTAAACATTTTATTTTCAGTTCATTTTATTTATTTACACAGTTTTTTTTTTTTAGTTTCACTGTAATTTTAATTAACTAAAATTATTTCAGTAATTTTAAACATTTTATTTCAGTTAGTTGCCAAGATAATATTTGTAATTTGTATTTGAATTTAAGTGTAAGTTTTTTCTAATGTTTATATTTAATTGTATTCCAGCTTTATTTGAATTAACTAAACGATTTGTGTGTTTGTGTGTGTGTTGAATTTTCTGTTTCACTGGAATGATTTGCAGATGTTTCATGTTGACTAAAGACAACCAAATACAAAATGTAACCAGTGTTGGGTGTAACTAGTTACTAAGTAATTAGTTACTGTAATTTAATTACTTTTCCCTTGAAAAAAGTGGGATTACTCTTATTTTTTCTGTAATTTAATTACAGTCACTTATGTAATTGAACTTAATACTGTGTATAGACTGTAGAACATTTATATGCAATACAATACAATAGTATATTTAACATCAAAATTTAAAGTCTAACCTTAAAATGCATGCTTTTTATGTAACCTTCTCACTTTAAATACTTTGGTGAGTTAATAAGAAAAATTTAAAGTCTATCCTTAAAATGCATGCTTTTTCTGTAACCTTCTCACTTTAAATACTTTGGTGAGTTAATAAGAATATTAGTAACACTTTAGTGTCCAATTCTCACTATTAACTAGTTGGTTTTCAGCATGAATATTACTGGGATATCGGCTGTTTATTATTACTTAAAAAGCACATATCAGCGTCTTATTCTGAAGACCTTATTCTAAATCCTCAATGCTACCCAATTCTTAAACTTAATTATCAGCAACTGCTTTACTAAGTATTAATAAGCAGTAATTAGGAGTATATTGAGGCAAATGTATAGTTAGTTAATAGTTAGTTAATAGTGAGAATTGGACCCTAATCTAAAGTGTGACCAGAATAATTTATGTAAGTTATCTATTATTTATTTGAAAGAATTAACAAAAGAACCATTTCATGTCTATCCTTGTATCATTAACTTGTCAAGGTTGATATAGGATTTAGAAAGTAATTATAGTAATAAGTAATTAAATACTTTTTGGAGAGAGTAATTTGTACAGTAATCTAATTACACTGTTGAAGATGTAATTAGTAACTAGTAATTAATGACTTTTTTAGAGTAACTTACCCAACACTGAATGTAACAATATAATTGTAACATTAAGTCCAAGTGAGATGAAAAGAGTTCACACACAGCTCAAATAAAAAACGGTTTATTAGAGAAAACAAAAGAAGGTAATCCAAATAACAAGCAAACAGTGAGCAAAGCACAAACGATACTGGACAAGGAATTGAAGGCCTTAAATACACTGAAGCAAATTAGATAATTAACTAAACAAGAGGCAAACAAATTGAGCAATTAAACGGACAGAGAAAGTAGGTCTAGAGGCAAAACAAGGAAGACAGAACCCAAACACAATGAAAACACGATTAAAACGGAACACAAGTATAACAATAAATAGTAATAATATTCTGCTTATTCCATTAGAACTCACTCATTCCAGCAAAACTCCCAGAGCCAATCAGAGCCAGTGAAGCCGTGGCCAAGAAGAGTCAAAACAAAGCCAGGTGAGACTATTTATCTGTGTGGTCTCCGATGTTTGAAGTCACGTTATGTTATATATACATTTTCTTTAGTTTTAGGATGCATATCGTGTTTTGTATAGTGGTCGTTTTGATTCGACTTGAAGTTTTCTTGTCATTCAGGCTCACTGATCCAGTCCCTACGACTGAGACATCCATAGCACCACGGCAGCGTCCCAAGGCTGGCCAAGCCCAACCAATCGCAGGCATCCTGCCCATCCAACCAGCCCTCACCCCTCGTAAAAGAGCCAATGCACCTGCAGGACCCGGCCAGCCAATCAGTGAGTGTTCATTATTCACCTTCATCCAAAATCAAGCACTATGTAGGCGTCCTCATATGTGTGGCTTCAGTCTTTCATGCTCACTCTCTTTTTTTCACTGACGACTCTTCACACGTTGCATGTGTCTTTGACTGACACACACGGCTCTAGTGTTCCCACTGGTTCAATCAGTGTGTCATTACAGAGAGCTTTTAAAACCTCACTAATGAGCCTGAGCTATTGAGCCCCTGACACACTCAATCCTACCGAGCTGTCATTTCACTTCCTATTTCTGAAGTCAATGCTAATTAAAGCCCTACATGTCTCATTGATAATGAATATCCCGGTGTATTGTTATCTTCCTGTAATGTTTTAGCACCGGATTATCTGGGTCAGGATAGTAACACTGTCTTAATTTAGGATGACAAGTTTGTAAGTCGCTTTGGATAAAAGCGTCTGCTAAATGACTAAATGAAAATGTTTTATCAAGCAATTTACCACTGAAAATGTAAATACTATAATTTTTATATATAGCAATGTGAAGCTGGATTTTGGACAAGTTTGATTTTTGTGGGTGGGGCTTTCCAGCACGGTTATGAATTTTAACATGTAAACCCTAACCACAATTTTGGGGTCAGTAATTATACTTTTTTTTTAAAGAAATTAATACTTTTATTTATCAAGGATTTCACTTGATCAAAAATGACAATAAAGATATTTATAATGCTAAAAAAAAATAATAATTTTAAACAAATACTGTTCTTTTTCTATTCAAAAGATCCTGAAAAAATGGATCCGTTTCTACAAAAATATTAAGCAGCACAACAGTTTTCAACATTGATTATAAGAAATGTTTTTTAATAAGAAGAAAAGATTTGCCAACGCATGGATAAATTACATTTTAAAATATATTCAAAAAATTGTAATAATATTTCACAGTCTTAGTTTTTTTCTGTATTTTTGATGAAATGTGGCTATGGTGCATATTCAAAATGTATATTCATGTATATTCAAAATATGTTGATCCTACAGTAACTCATTGATTAAATTACTGCGTAGAATTACTGAAAACGCAGAATAATAGCTAATAGCTAGTAGGAAAATAACATACATCTTTATGTTTAAGTTTATTCAAAATAAGCTGACTTACTATGTATATAGGCATATTCTAATGATTCAATGATGATTCAAAAACATGAAAACCCATTATAAACGAGGCTTTCTTTTCATCCAGTGGGGACATAATTATGGATTATAATGACTTATACTGTCTTTTTATGCGTTGCGTTGCATCGCGCCATTAGAACGAGCCGTTTTAGGTAGGTGTGGCTGACTCTTAACTTTTATAAAGAATATCTCTTTGGATTTGAGACTTTAGTCTTCTTTAGTCTTCTTTATGCACCAAGGCTTGTAACACTCCAAAGAGAAAGGAAAAATTGAAATCGCATCATATGACCCCTTTAATTACATCCCTCATTCAAGTTAAATCGTGACCATGATTTAACTTAATTCAAACAAACAAATTTTTAATTGTGGCCATGATTTCAGGTTTTTTTTCCCCCCACATGTCATGTGTGGGCTCTGTAGTCATTGGACTAGTTTCGCGACTCTTCCTTGTCTCGTGGTTTGCAAGTATGAGAGTGGGGATTTTAGCGGCCTGTTTTTTAACGTTGTTTTTATTGTGTTTTCTATTGGTTTACAGGTGTTAACAGTGCTTCCCAGCCTGTTTCCCAATCACAGGTTCCTGTCGCTCAGCAACAAGCCACACCCACTCCAATGCAGGCCACTCCCTCTCCACCCCAGACCACAACCCAACATGCACAACTTTTTGTGCAGCAGCAAAACACAGCCTTCTTTACTGCTCAACAACAGGTAACTGCTATATGAACCATTCTGGAAATACTTAAAATAAAAAAATAAAAAATAGAATTTAGAGTAAACATGAAATAAGATTTGACCTTATTTACTTTCTTAAAGCGGTCATATGATGCTGCTAAAAAGAACATTATTTTGTGTATTTGGTGTAATGAAATGTGTTTATGTGGTTTATTCACGAACAGCTTGTAACACTCCAAAGAGAAAGGAAAACTTGAAATCGCATCATATGACCCCTTTAATACATGTCTTACTGTGAACGATAGTCCTGAACGATAGTCTGATTCTGACATTGAACACTCACTTTTCATGACCCAATCAAATCCAGATAGATGAATACTCTATTTTATTTGAATATGTCACATTATGGAAATAAAATGTGTTGTGAATGATTTTTCATGTGGATTTAAAATAAATCATCTGGGAAATTCTGTGTGGATTTATAAATGGAAATTTTCATTATTGTGATGTCAATTGTTGCACCTACCTCCTTTAGCAGCAGCACTCAACACAGACCTCCGTCTTACCTGCACAAACGGTTGCATCATCCTCCACCCCTGTTTCTACACAGTCTAAACCTAAGAACAGGGCACCCCCTCCACCCATACACCACCCTCAAACCAACCGCCTCACAACATTATCAGCAACCACACAGACAAAAACCAAAGCAACGGCCCCAGTCCCGCCTACAGAGTGTTCACATAGTAATAGTGTAGATGGAGATATCACTGCGACCGTGTCTGCCCAACCTAAAACCAAAGCTATGGCACCTCCACCCCCCACATCACACGCCTCCACCCTTCCTCCACCTAAAACCACCTCGGCACCATCCGCTGACTCTGAAGTGGACCCAGAGCAGAGGGTAACCCTCCCAACATCTGTGTCTGCTCTGTTAGAGTGATTTTCCTTGCTTCCTAAAGCCTTGATCCTCCCCTTGGTGGCTTGTCTTGCATGTTAAAGGGATAGTTTACACACAGATGAAAATTAAATGAGTAAATGACTATCCATTCTTGTAACTTAATGTTTTTTTTGTGCAGTTTTTGCAAATTGTTTCTAAGAATTAACATTATGAAATCAGTAGGTGTTGACAGTTACTGTATATTATGCCTGCAGCTGCAGAGCAAGGTGTCATGTACAACACAAGTGGAGGTGTTCTATCTAATAGCCATATTGAATTTTACGTGGATGAAAATGAGGCTGTGGATATATATAGACATAGGATCAGTAATTTTCAAAATGCACAACTTGAAAACTTTTTAATGGAGGTTTTGTCTACTGAAAGTTTTTTGGAAAGATGATTTGTCATCTGAACAATTGGCATGTTGTTAAACAACAGTATTCATTCCTCGTTTTAATTCCTGTCAAAAATGTAAAAAGCTGCTACCCTGGTCATGACACATCTTTAAAAACCTCATGTTGTTCCAAAGCCATATCATCTGTGTTGTTCTTCTAAAAAAAAACAAAAGGATAAGTTGAGCTGAATGTTCACACTGCCAATAAAGTAAAGGTATATTTCAGTTTCAGAAGTCAAATGATAGCTTTGTGTGATAAACATGCAAATATTTAAAATGACATTCTCTGCCCAAGTTTAATTGTATGTCCATGTATTTAAATTTATAAATAAATTTGTATTTATTGTCCTCTATATATATATATATATATATATATATATATATATATATATGCTTTCAGCACAATGCTCTTTGTTCCAGTGTGCAAAGTTTGGCTATGCACCAGCAAAAAGTGGATTTGAGGGCAATGACAGAGGATGTGATTTTCAATGAATAATGACTTGCATTTCGGTCTTTTCTTCACCGAAATCCTGTGGCTTTATGGTGTTTTTGTCATTTTTGTAGCTCAGCAGGAGGCCTATAATCACTTCCATTGTATGGAGACAAGAACCCAGGAAAATATGTGAAAAAGAAGATTTTATGGATTTGGAGTGACATGAGGGCGAATACATTAAAGTTTCTAACAGATAAGATTTTTCTATTAAAATGAATAGAAAGGACTTGATTCATCTGACAACAGACATTTCACCTTTCAAACCTTTTAGATATTTTCTCATTTCACACATCAGCTTTTTTCAACAAGTCATTGAGATATCAGATTTGTCTTTTTTTTTGTACATCTGAAGCTCTCTTTCTTCACCTTTCAAAGACCAACCTCTTTTCTACAGAATGTCTCTTTTGGTATATCAGAAATTAAATTCTCTAATAAATATCCTTCAGTCTTTAATGTTGTCTCTATACCTTTCTTTCTGTAAAAGTCTGTTGGCGGAAGTCGTGGGGTGCATAAAGTCGGCTCCTTGACTCCACCCTCTTCTCCCAAGACCGCCCCTAAAGGAGGCCACAGGCGAATTCTGAGCGATGTCACACACAGCGCCATATTTGGAGTTCCTGTGAGCAAGTCCACTCAACTGCTTCAGGCTGCTGCTGCAGAGGCCAGCCTCAACAAGTCCAAGTAAATCAAGCAAATACGTAATCATTTACAGTTTAGTTTTAACCATTGTCCAGCATTGAGTAAAGATGAAAATAAAGGTTGTATTGGAGTAAGATTGGTACTACATCTAGCTAACTGAGTAGCAAAGTGGCAACATTAGGACTATTTAAAGTGTCACATCATGCAAAACAATTTGTTTTTCTTGGTCTTGCTATATGTAGAAATTGGATATGTTCAGAATAACATTCTGCTAAATGCAGTGTGCTCGTTTTAAACCTTCATTTCCAGTATGACGAATCAACTTGAAGTAAATCAAGCCACGGTTTTTAACATCTGGATCTTCTATGCTGAATAGGTCTCAGGTGGTCTAGCTGGCGTGCCAGCCTGGCACTCAACTGGTTTTCCTGAAAAGTGCCCAAAACCCCTTCTAAGACCAGCCAATATCCCAGACTAGCCAAACTGGCAGTTAGCTAAAACTAGAAAACCATCTAAGGCTGTTTTAAGCTGTTTAATTGTTCATTCTTTCAGCAGGGTTTCTTCATTATATTTGGTTTGCTAAAGGTTTAAGGCTTGACACACCAAGCCGACATCAAATAACTTAATGTTGACAAAAACCAGCTGTGTTGTCACCTGTGTCAAAAATTTGCACATTTGGACACATTGCAAAGACTAGCCAACAGCCAAAAAGCATACGTTTTGCACCTGCATGAGAGAAAATACTGTAACTCTCCAGACCAGCAGGTGGCAGTAGTTTATATTCTGCCTTCAAAATGGGAAACAGAAACTAGGACTGGGTGGGTGCTTGCTTACCATTTTGAATATGAATCTTGATCAGTTGGTCTTCACTTTCTACATTCCAAACAGCCATGTCTTCATGAAAATATTCACACATTGGAATGGTGAGATCAATTGAAGGTGTACAATTAGAAGAACCATCTATGTTTGCACTGTAATTTTTTGTATTATTTGCTTGCTTCCATCCCTTTCGTTTTTTCTTCTTATGCACTGGTTCACTAAGCTGAACAGCCAGTCAGAGTGATCTCTCTTACTGACCACCCAATGGCCATTCAACATGCTCAATCGGCCAAAAAGCCTCCAATCGTGGTCCAACTAGTGCCAACGTTTTGGAACACACTGGGAAAACAGGTCTAAAAGACACTCAACGATGGCCTGACTTTGGCCAACTGCCAACTGTCAGCTTAGTGTATCACAGCCTTGGAGTTTTATGCAAAAATCGTATTGAAAATGCAAATAGTTTATATTTCAAAGATGATAACTCGACACCACTAGCATGCAACATGCTGAAGTGGAACTTTTTGAAGCATTGCTATTTTTCTCTCTCTGCTGTAGGTCAGCTAGCACCACTCCCTCTGGTTCTCCATGTTCATCACAGCAGAGTGTTTATCAGTCAGGGGAGGCTTCGGGACCCTTGCCTGGAGCCCCTGCATCCTGGAACCCCTTTGGCGATGACAATTTCTGTAAACTCACAGCAGAAGAGCTGCTCAACAAGGATTTTGCCAAACTGGATGGTAAAACCAATGTTTATTTATGAAATCAAGTTTTCCAAGTTATTTTTAGCACAGTATTTCTTTTAGTTGCCCAAACAACCCTCTACAGAGAGACTACAGATACACTGTGTATGTGTGTGTATCTTTGCAGCTAAGACAGCCGAGAGATCCTGCCCTGAAAATCTGATTTCTGGGTTGCAGTCTGTGTCTTCAAATAAAGGCTTTATCCAGGGAGGAGGTACAGTCTGTTTATCTCTCTATGTGACTCTTTCTATGTCTCTCCCAATGCTTGCTGGGAGTCTGGTAATGCTTAAGACACAACCGCAATGCAAAATTAGCTTTTTTTTCCACTTTCAAAGCAATGAATGCTGTAAACTTGTACTGAACCTGGAACAGTTTCAACCAATGGGTGCTGGTGGATTTTCAGAAAGGGGGATAGTCCTTCACATTTTACTGCAAACTCTGGAATGGAATGCCAGTTTTTCCACAATCCATATAATTCCCAGTGGATCACGTCCCACCCTGCATTTTTATCTTGAATATCCTGTTTCACCCAGAGACATACCAGAAGTAAAATGGGTTGTGAATGTTGATTCATGACTTTCAAACACTGGCTTTTTCAGTGACTTTAAAAAGCAGTTAATGTACTTGACCTCCTCGAGCCTTCCAGAAATAAAGTAACTTGTGCATCTCACCTGCTGGCAGCCTTGCAATAAGCCTTTCCTTTTCCTATTTATAGAGATAAAGACAGATAGGGAACTCTACTTCCACCTACTTTCTTGGAAACATCGTGGATAAACACTGGTGTCAGTAATCAGATGCAGTTAAAGGGTAAACTTTGATCAAGACTGTTATTAGGTGATTGAGACCTTTTATAGTTTCTCTTCACAGTAATTTGTAAATTCTTCTTTCGATGAAGCTTTTTCAGTACACTCTTAAAAAATAAAGGTGCTTCAAAAGGTTCTTCAAGCGATGCCATAGAAGAACCATTTTTGGTTCCACAAAGAACCATTCAGTCAAAGGTTCTTTAAAGAACCATCTCTTTCTTACCTTTTTATAATCTGAAGAAACTGCTTTCTCCACAAATAATCTTTTGTGAAACTGAAAGGTTCTTCAGATGTTAAAGGTTCTTTATGAAACCATTTAGACAAAAATGTTCTTCTATAGCATCATGAAGCACCTTTATTTTTAAGAGTGCATTGCTCAAAACTAAGGTTAGGGATTTAGACAAACTTTGGTGAGTAACTCATCCTTTAGCGCCAGTTATGCTACTGACATGAATGATACATGAATGGTTGAGGCTTGTTGAGAAGAGCTGTGCTATTTCAAAATTAAAATCTCCTAGAATTATATAGGAGGAACCTGAGCCATATTCAGAGACCAGAACATCGTAATGCAGGAGTGTCCTGCCCCTGGAGAGCCCCCTTTCTGCAGAAGTTAGCTCCAACACACTTGTCTGGAAGTTTCTAGTGATCTTGAAGACCTTGATGAGCTGGTTGAAGTGTGTTTAACTAGGGCTGGAGCTAAATTCTGCTGGATGGTGGCCCTGGAGGAACAGGATTGGACACCCCGGTCATAGAGATTTGGGGCTGGGTTCTTTTGACATTGGTCAGTAAGCAACTGTCTAGCAACCTCTCAGGGATAGTTCACCCAAAGATGAAAATTCTGTCATCATTCTTACCCTCGTGTCATTCCAAACACACTTTTGTTAATCTTTGAACCCAGTGTTAATTTCGACAAATAATTTTCGTCATAAATTTTTTTTCACAGACGAAAACGAGACTATAACAAACTAAAACTCATTTGAATGGCAAAAACTATAACGGAAATCTATTGACACATTTGTCAACGAATAAAAACGAGACAATAATGTTAGGGGGCATGATTTGAGAAGAGATTCATTCAGAATGAATCTACTGCGTGGTTAGGAGGTTAGATGCGTAGTTGCGTACATATGAACCGGCGGGACATAAGCTAACATACACTTGCTGCATGCCTCATAAAACGTAAAAAAATGTCAATATGTGGGAGTAAGAGAAGAGCAGACATATGGATACATTTTACGATGCAAGAGAGAACTGAATTCGGTCTGGTTTTCTGAGCGCAGACACTGAAGCATACACACACAGAAAGCGCGTCTCACACAGCGCGCGAGTACTCTTTCACGTCGCATGAACAGAGAATTACACACAGAATTATGTTGAATTGTCCGTTTTGATGAGTATTCACATAAACACAATCGATTTCGTCTTAAGTGAACGTAAACAGTAGGGAGAAAGTGTTTATTAGAAGTGGTATTTAATTTGAACATAAAGGCATGTTGTGTGTCACCGCAGTTAAATCATGATAAGTCTATCATGATAAAACCTTAATATCAAACCTATATTATGAGATTGGAAATTTTTGAGAAATGTTTAATAAATGCACTACACTGTAACTAAACCCATTAGATTTTAGCCGACTAAATTTACTGTAGATTTAGTCGACTAAAATCTTATGATATTTAGTCGACTAAAATTAAAACAATTCAGATGACTAAAATATGACTAAAACTAAATGGCATTTTAGTCAAAAGTCTATGACTAAAACTAAATCAAAATTTGCTGTCAAAATTAACACTGTTTGAAACACAAGTGAAGATATTTTTAATGAAACCTGAGAGATTTTTGTGCCTACGCTCAAAATTTATTTAAACAAATGTTCATGATAAAAAAAAAAAACTTTGTAAAAACAGCCATTTGTGGGAAAATAAAAAATAAACATTAGAAAAGACATTATTTATAAATTTCAGGTCCTCTTTTTGTATGCTATTTGTAGAAAGTGCCACATGATAAAAGCAATTATATAAACCCAATTGTAAGTCGCTTTGGATAAAAGCGTCTGCTAAATGACTAAATGTAAATGTAAATGTAAATAAACAGCATATTCTACTACACTGTATATACTGCACATTATGGTACAGTTATGTTCTTTGGAGTGTTATTCTCTCTTTTAGATTTTTAGTTTTAGAATTTGTGTGTAAAGCCGGGCACATACTGTGAAATTTCAGCAACACAACAACTCTCACTGTGCGAGTAAATCACATGCAACGTCAAGCCAAAGCTCAGGATTTATGTTCTCACACTATACAGTCGGATCATCGAGCTGCGTCTTGACTGCTCACACTAAATGGGCGAAATAAACACGTGGACCCTCCGAACCCAGAACTGTGTAGCCTCCATCGCTTTGATCCAAACCACACGATATGTCGCCATGGTTTTGTTTCTGTTTTCACGCAGGCGCATTGAGGGAAAAAAACACTGAATTTAGGGCAGTGAGTTCGTAGCCCTGCTTCAACTATGCGATACCCTCACGAGGGGCGATCAAAATTTCTGACATGCCAGAAATTCATCCGACCATCCGATTGCCATACACTGCACATCAAAACACACACAACAAAGCTGAAATTCAGTCTTCGACTCAAAAAAGAGGTGCAAGATTCAGAATTCGGCTCTAAATTGTATGAAAATTTTACTGTTTGCCCGGCCTAAAAGAGATGCATGCATGATGATTCTCAGCCGAAAGCAGAGCGAGTGGATTAGCGCTTGGAGGTCTTACGTAAGCACAGTCTGGTAATCCTCTCTGAATCTGATGACACACCAGATCATGCTGGGTAAATTTAAGGCACAGGTAAACCTTTTGAGTGCCGTGGGATGCATGTGTACTCTAGCTCCATGGTGATCTATGACATGCACACTTTTCCTGACATCATTAGTAGCCATATCAAGGGACCAATTGAGAGCAGTAAGCAATCATCTTGTAACACTTTAGCAACCATCCAGGACACCCTAGAAACTGCATAACAATATGATCAAAACTACTCAGAATACCCGAGAAACTGCGTAGCTATGCCCTGGCAACCTTTCATAATACTCTAGTTGCGTCTGTTTATTCAGAAGCAGTTGAACTTTAAGACTTGAAGAGCTTTCTTGACTTCATTCATGTTTAAAGGTTGATGGTTCATTCTCTGCCCTAGTGAAAGGGGGAAAGCGAGCGTTCTGCTGTTCTGTGACCTGAGTACCCCCTCCTCTCCCCATACCCTCATCCCAAAGTCCTCCTTTCTATCACAAAGACTGTGAGTAAAACTCCAGCACTGTAACAAGTCCAATTCTCAACTGATCCGCATGCATCTGATTTAATGAAACCGTGACAGTTGCATCATTCTGACTGTTTGCCAGTTTAACTAATAGCCTGACTGGTAGTCGAGTGCTTTCTCCTCCTCCAGCTCAAGTTATAACCCTGAGCCTGTGAAATAAAGATTGGCTGTCTAACACAAATGATAGGTTTGTTTGAAACTGTAGTGTGCTGCACCTGTGGTCCTCAGAATTCAAGTATAAGTGTTCTGTTGTTACTGCATGCTCTAGCAAATGTGGTAGATCATTTGGCAATTCCAGACATACAAAATGCTCATACTAGCAATATATACAGTACATAAAGCATACTAAAGAGTGCAAGAAGTATGGTGATATGCCTTTCTGAAAAACATCCACTTTTCCTTTTGTCTTTTATCCTTCTGACATGTTTGTTTTAAAGGATTTTTTTTTTCGGGGGGTTGTTCAGTTAAGGTAGTTTGTGTTCTTATATTCCTGCAGGATTCAGAACGATGAATGCTTATACTAACTGTCTTAACAAATATCCTTTTTCCTTATGAGCAACACTTTTCACTTAACTCCTCTTTCCTCACTCACTCTCCTCTGCTTCTCACTGTATCCTCCTCTTGTCCTTACTGTTTATCTTCTCCTTTCCTTACTGTCTCTGCTCCGCTCCTCTCCTCTCCTCCTCACTGTCTATTTTCTCCCCACTGTCTCCTCTCCTCTCCTCTCTTCTCCTCACTGTCTATTCTCTTCTCCTCACTGTCTCCTTTACTCTCCTCACTATTTCATCTCCCTTATCTTTTCCTAACTGTTTCTTCACCTCACTCTTCTCTCCTAATTGCCTCCTCTCCCTTCTCTCCTCCTCACTGTCTATTTTCTCCCCACTGTCTCCTCTCCTCTCCTCTCCTCTCCTCTCTTCTCCTCACTGTCTATTCTCTTCTCCTCACTGTCTCCTTTACTCTCCTCACTATCTCATCTCCCTTATCTTTTCCTCACTGTTTCTTCACCTCACTCTTCTCTCCTCATTGCCTCCTCTCCCTTATCTCCTCTCCTCTCCTCCTCACTGTCTCCTTTACTCTCCCCACTGTCTCCTCTCCTCTCCTTCTTACTGTATATTTTCTTCTTCTCAATGTCTCCTTTACTCTCCTCACTGTCTCCTCTCCTCTCCTCCTCACTGTCTGTTTTCTTCTTCTCACTGTCTCCTTTACTCTCCTCACTGTCTCCTCTCCTCTCCTCCTCACTGTCTGTTTTCTTCTTCTCACTGTCTCCTTTACTCTCCTCACTGTCTCCTCTCCTTCTCACTGTTTGTTTTCTTCTTATCACTGTCTCCTTTACTCTCCCCACTGTCTCCTCTCCTCTCTTCCTCACTGTATATTTATTCTTCTCACTGTCTCCTTTACTCTCCTCTCCTCCTCACTGTCTCCTTTACTCTCCTCACTATCTCATCTCCCTTATCTTTTCCTCACTGTTTCTTCACCTCTCCTCTCCTCCTCACTGTCTATTTTCTTCTCCTCTCCTTTCCTTTCCTTTCCTTTCTCCTTTCCTCACTGTCTGCACTCCTCCTCACTATATTGTCTCTCCTCACTGTCTCCTCTCTTTACGGTCTCCTTGCATCTTCTCTTGTGTCTCTTCTCCTCTCTTTATTCTCTCTTCTTCTGCCTTTTCTACTTCTTCTCATGGTGTCCTCTCCTCTGTCTCCTCTCCTCACTGTCTATCCTCTCCTGTCTCTAATTCTCACCATGTCCTCACTGTCTCATTCCTGTCTCCTTTGTCATCTACTCATTGTCTCCTCTTTCTCTTTTCCTCTCCACCTCACTGTCTCCTCTCCTCTCCTCCTCACTGTCTATTTTCTTCTTCTCACTGTCTCCTTTACTCTCCTCACTGTCTCCTCTCCTCCTCACTCTCTGTTTTCTTCTTCTCACTGTCTCCTTTACTCTCCCCACTGTCTCCTCTCCCTCACTGTCTCCTCTCCTCCTCACTGTCTGTTTTCTTCTTCTCACTGTCTCCTTTACTCTCCTCACTGTCTCCTCTCCTCCTCACTGTCTGTTTTCTTCTTCTCACTGTCTCCTTTACTCTCCTCACTGTCTCCTCTCCTCCTCACTGTCTATTTTCTTCTTCTCACTGTCTCCTTTACTCTCCTCACTGTCTCCTCTCCTCCTCACTGTCTGTTTTCTTCTTCTCACTGTCTCCTTTACTCTCCTCACTGTCTCCTCTCCTCCTCACTGTCTGTTTTCTTCTTCTCACTGTCTCCTTTTCTCTCCCCACTGTCTCCCTCTCCTCTCATCTCCTCTCTTCTCCTCTCCTCCTCACTGTCTATTATCTTCTCCTCGCTGTCTCCTTTACTCTCCCCATTGTCTCCTCTCCTCTCCTCCTCACTGTATATTTTCTTCTCTTCTCCTCTCCTCTCATCCTCCCTGTCTATTCTCTTCTCCCCACTGTCTCCTCTCCTCTCTCCTCCTCTCCTCCTCACTGTCTATTCTCTTCTCCTCACTGTCTCCTTTACTCTCCTCACTATCTCATCTCCCTTATCTTTTCCTCTC